CCATGGCTTAACATGACAGAGACTTCCTGTGCTCCATATCTGTCATGTATCAGTGGAGAGTCTGCTCACCACAGCTGGACTGATGATGCAGTCACTCATAACTTTCATTATAATCTGCAAGTTATAATGCTAACTGACAGAGCAATTGCTAATTGATAGAGCAATCATTAAGTGCCACATCCCAAAGTAAAATTTATTATTTTCTTTGTAGCTTATTGGATAGAATTACTTACATGACTACAGTTGCCACTAGGAGAACCTGTGGTCTTTCTGGGTACCTAAAAGAGGGAGAGCTGGCATATTGGAAGAACAGTATTGAGGGCCTCAGATGGATGCTATTATTATCTTCATCTTATAAATGAGGAAACTACAGCTCAGAGAGGTCAAGCACTTGAAGCTGGAGGACAGAAGTTCATTGTAAAAAAAATAAAAAATAAAAGTATGAATACTTTTATCTACCCTCTTACCCATAAGTCATAGCAGGAAGACTCAAGGAATACAGAATTGGTAAAAGCACTGACTTTATAACAAGTTAGGACTGGGTTTGAGTTCTCTCTCCTATAGCTTACCAACTCTTTAGGTAACTTTCTTTAATGAACTTGAACTTCCTCCTCCATAAAACTAGTCTAATAATTTTCAGCTCAAAGGCTAGTTGTGAATCAGTTCTGTGTGTCCCATGCCTGGTACATGATAGGGATACAGTAGGTGGCAGACACTGTCGGTGGGGTTTTTCCATTTAAAACTCACCCTGGTTTCATTGACAACTTTGCATATAAGACACAGAGGCTCTGAAGGAACATCTCAGCTACCCATCAAGGCTCTGGGTATCTGTTTTAAATAGTCGATGTTGCCTGGCAGTATGGGATTCTCAGGTACCTGAGTGACTCACATTCTTTAATAAGCTTTCATTAAGGAGAATGAAACAGCTTGCGTTGGTACCGACACCCACGGAATCCTAATCTCAGCGGCAGGGTGGCAGGGTCGAAGAAACCAATAAAAGTAGATGAGATTGAACAAACACAAAGACCTTCCTTCTCTGGGCAGAGAAGAAATGTCACTTCATGGGGAGGGAATCACACAACTAGGTGAAAGAACAACAGAAACCAGAATCAATAGATGTGGAGACGAGTTTAGCTTGGTTTGTCATATTGCTAAAAATGTAGGAACTTGTTATTTGTAATCATCTCAGCATCATCCTGTAACCGTGAGCATCCTCACTTGCACTTGAAGGTGTTGAACTCTTTCTTGTTTCTTTTCCTTTTGGGGGAGTGTGGGGGGATTGGGGATTGAACCCAGAGACACTTTACCACAGAGTCCTATTCCCAGCCCTTTTTATTTATTTTTTGAGACAGTTGCTGAGGCTCTCGCTAAGTCACCGAGGTTGGCCTTGAATTTGCAATCCTCCTGCCTCAGCCTTCCAAGCTGCTGGGTTACAGGATGTGTCACTGTGCCCAGCTGTGTTGAACTCTTTCCACAGTCTTTGCCTCCCTGTGATGACCAGGAGGAAAAAGTTTGACTCTTCCGCCTACATAACCTTCTGTTATATTTCCAATTTGTTTGGACTGTTAAGAGACAGACTGTCATGACCTATTGCTCCTCTATGTGTCCTTCCTGTTCCTCTTTATGTCCTTTACAGGCAGCACTTGTTACAATGTGGGCTCTGCTGTGAACTGAACAAATAAGATGGGTTCAGATTGCACCTTAGAGGTGTTTCCCGAACTGTCGACCTGTTTCACTTAACTCTAGATTCTTTCTCTATTCCTTTAGTGACTTTTCTTTCCATTTAGAAGGGGAAAACTATTTTGCAACCCTAATTATGAAGATATAGTTTACATATTTGGTGACTGGCACAAGAAATATGGTGCTAGAAATTAATAAGTATTTGTTCATCATACCATGACCGCCCTCTATGTCTTTTTCTTTTTTTTCTCTTAGTTCATAATTTTTTAAATTGTAGTTATTTGCTTTCTATGTTAAAATGGTTTAACTGAAGTATGGAAATCATAGTAATCATAATTTCTGAAATTAAGGTGCAGTACAGTGCTATTAATAAGATGAATGATGGCTGAATATGAAGGAGTACCAAGAATTGTGTTTAAGCTTTGTGGGCAGTGTTTTCTACCCACCCCCAACCACCACCAGCACCACCACAGTCATTCACTTGCAAACTCGAAACCTACAAGATGAAATTTCATCATGAGATACTGAGTCTTAGAGAGCTAAGGTGAAATGCCCAAGACTGAAAATAACAAATAATAGTGAACCCAGGATTGTAAACTTTCCTTGGTCTTTTCATTTTAGTTGACAAGGCTGGAGGGCTGTGCCTTGTAGGGAGAGGCCTTGTCTTATTCATCCCTGTACCCAGCTCCTGGCACAGAACAGAACGGAACAAGAGGGTGACATAGCTGGGGCTCTATTTTAGGAAGATAAATCTGGCAACAACGAGTGGGATGAAGAGAACAGGAAAGTCCTGGCAGCTCAGAGAGCAGCTAAGATGCTCCTGCAGTAATACAGGGAGAAAGATGAAGGAATGGTGAATGAGGGAGCCACAGAGGAGAGCAGAGAAGCCATGAATGGGCAAAGAGAGGAAGAGAGTGCATGGATGAAAGCTGATGAGTGAGCAGAGGCTGGGAGAGGGCGGGTCCTTGGAGAAGTAAATATCCACTCACATGGCAAATGTGCCCTGAGCATCAGCTGTATACCAGAAACTAATGGAGATGCCAGGATACAAGAGGGAATCAAACAAATGTGGATTTTGCTCTTGTTGACCTTGTATACTAACTGGAGGATGTCTCGGAATTCTCCAGGAAAACTGAACAGTGGGAGAGAGAGAAAGCGTCCAATCTATACAGAGGTGTTTCCAGAAATTGACTTGCATGGGGAAAGGGGCTGTTAGGTCTGAAGTCTGCAGAGCAGGCCTAGGGCTGCAAACTCTTGGGCCAGGAGCAGATGCTACAGTCTCGCAGGATTTCTTTTCAGGGAAAACTTTGCTTTGCTCTGAAAACCTTCCAAATGATTGGATAAGGCCCACCCAGATTGCTGAGGATCATCTCCTTTCCTTAAAGTCAACCAGCTGTAGATACTATCCATATCTGCAAAGCACCTTCACAGCAACACCTGGGCTAGTATTGACTGAACAGCTGGGTACAATAGCACTGAGAGTTGGCACAGGAATACCAGCCATCACAGAGGAGAGAAAGCTGATGTGCAGAAATCACCAGGGACCTTCGAGAATAAATGCAGGCCAAAATGTTAAAGCCCTAAGGGTTGGTGCTGTCACCATCCTTATTCCTGCGCTCATGCAGAAAACAGATGAGTCATCTGCCTCCCAGGAACAGTCAAATGGGACCAGGATGTCTGACCTTTTCCCCAAGAGTCAGGCCCTTGTTTCCTGAGTAATCATGGAACCTTAACCCAGGGAGCTCAGCCTTGCTTCCTGGGGTGCAGGGAGTGGTTTCATCCCCAGGTACCAGTCACCCTTCTCCTGGTGGCCCTGTTCCCCTACCCACCCACCCACCCCGACACACAGTGGCCTGGCTGCCTTCCAGTGCCCAGCTCGGGGCTGTGTCACTTCCTCAAGTCAACGTTCTCTGAACTTAGGCAAATCTCACAATTTAAGCCCCACCTCCAAACCTTCTGACCTTCGAAAGTGGTATCATTTTCACCAAGCAGTCTATTCAAATCCTATTTTATTCGTATTTGCCTTTCCCATTGTTCTGAGGAAAGGCCCGAAGTCACTGTTGTGCTGATTCATGGTACTGAGCCCAGTTCCTGGCATATACTACCTGTTAAATAAACAAATGGATAAAGGAAGGAATGAATGAGATCTATGCTTTCCAAGCAGTTGATCTGCAGGGCATTCTGGACAATGACCTGGAAATACCACAGCACAGCCTGTGGCTCCTCTGCTTTTCTGGTTCCCAGTCTGATCCCACCCTGTGTACCCCTCATCCTGTCCTCAGAACTTGAGTTCTTATGGATTTCTATCTAAATCCTGGCATTTCCAAGACTCTTCTCTAATATGGGGGTACTTTTTAAGCATTTGAGCCCAAAGCCCCTTAATACAAAACAAATGAGGCTTTTTTTCAGAACTGTTAGAACAGAAGAAGACGAAAATGAGAGAACAGAATGGAAGGATTCAAGAATAGAGCTCTATGCAGCAGACAGATGCAGGCCCGGATGGAATGTCCTAGAAAGCTCTCCTACTGAAAACTGGCCATGTTCTCTCTCCTTGCTTCAGGCAGGAAATTCTGACTGCTTTTATGCATGGTCTGGAGTCTTGTGAGCTAGAAGCTCCTGATATCTCTGTGTGGGATTTTGTGAGTTGTTGAGAGAAAGTTCTGTTAGGAAACCCTCCTCATGCCCAATTCTGCCATCATATGAAGGCCCCAACTGGCACATGAGATTGGCCACCTGGTGGAGCACACCAAGGTGCAGCCAGCCACAGGCACCCCCAGAGGAACCACGGTGTCTCCTGACCTGACAGCAGCCGTGACAACGAGGAAGTTATTTGTGTTATTAAATGCTCCCAGGAGCTCTTACGCCCTTTATGTTTGACCCAAATATTCATGAAAGTCAGCCTTTACTTTGCAGTCGTCTTCTGACTGTGGGAAATGGAATTTGGATTTAAAAAAAAAAAAAAATTAGCCTCTACCGCGTCATCCTGCAGGGTCTCTTCGGGTTTCGCCACTTGTGTTCTTACCATTAAACGTTCCTCGTATTGAGGAAGAGAAAAATCCCTCAGTTTCTACATTCTCTATACTGTCTGAAGCATGGAAAAGTCCATTGTAAATCAGATAGGTCAATCCCGGGATCCAAACAGATTTTGGACCAGGGTATAGTGGGAAACCCAGTGGCCCAGGAACTAGGTGACCGAGTTTCGAGTCTTGGACCTGCTACCCATCCAGCAATTGAGGGACCTTGGGCAGGCTGCTGGTCTATAGTGGAACAGGTAGTCTCTGCCGCCACCACCGCTCTAAGATGTATGGTTCTCATTGCAGGCATCTTTTCCACAAGTCCTGTGTTGACCCCTGGCTTCTAGACCATCGCACCTGCCCCATGTGCAAGATGAACATTCTTAAAGCCCTAGGGATCCCGGTAAGCACAGCACAGCCTACACCATCGTCATGTCTGTCTTTCTGCTTGACCCCCAGAGCAGTGAGAACGCTTCTTACCTGGATTTTCTATGTCCTCTCAGTCACATAGCAATGATAGCATCCAGTGAGGCCCCAAGAGAACTCCATGTTTGAGAACATTTCTCCTGTCACTTTTTCTCAGTCTGAGGACATCACCCATTCCACCACATGCACTGAATTTATCCATGAGTCAAGATGCCACGGGTGCAGCTCACAGGCGTCTTTCTGGAGGGCAGCTGGTTCACCAGCAGAGGTACGCTGGGCCACTGCACATTGACCACCTCTGTGGTCATCACCCGAGCCTAGCCATCGAAGAGATCTGCATGCCACACTTTCAGGTGTTGCCCCATGGTCACCTACTTTTGGGAGGCAACAAGTCCCTTCCAGCTAAGGGAGGGCAGGACAGCGGCTGAGAACCAGGCTCCAGACCTCTGTTAACCCAGATTTCTGCAGAGAGCTTGGGCAAACAGGAAAGCAGAGCCAGAGACCCTTAAGTTTTGCACTATTATTAAGCTGCTTCCCTCAGTCACGTGTTTTCAAAAGCTCTCTCCAATGCAAGGAGAACCCGCCAGCTGGCTTGATGCTCCAGGGAAAGACTTTCCTGGGACGGTATCAAGTGAACCCCACAAGTGGTGGCTGGTGAGGCACCAGCTGCTGTGTGTTATCCCCTCTAAGCAGAAGAGGGTAGGAAATGAGCCAGTCTCAGAGATGTGCAAAAACATAAGGCACTGTCTAAAAGAAGCCGCACAAATACACGGAGCCAGCCTCCCGCATCCCGCTGTATTTGCTGCAACCTGCCTGTTTGTCACTTCTCACTAGTAAAGGCAGAGAACAAAGAGAATGTTCACAGTCGCAAGGTGCCACTGAAAAAGCAAGGCATCAGATCACATATCAAAGTCTTTCTTAATGCCAAAGGGCTAATTAGGAACTTCAGAGTGACTGTTAGAGAAGACACACCCCCCCATGCATTCTGGGGACATGCACTGGCTGGGTTTCTTGCCCTGCATCAGCTGCCCCGTGCCAGCTGTGTGCTGGTTTCCACGATCAATACACAAAACACAAATCAACTCACGTGGCTGGAGCTTTGAGCTCGATTTCAAAGGCAATGCATTAAATTTTCAGATCAGAGTTGCTAATGCGTAGTGCATTCAAGGTGAAAATCAATTACAGAGAATGTGAAATGTTAGTGAAAACTCAACATCGCTACCAAAAACTGATGACTTAAAAAAAAAAAAAATCAAACCCAGTTTTGGCAGTTTTCACAGTTTGGCATCTCTAGCTGTGACCAGTTGTTTGATGGAAGGGGGACGTGCATATGTGTGTGCTTGCATGTGCCTGTGTGTCCTTGATGTCTGAAGTCTTCAGAATCCTCACAATTAAAGGACACAGTTGCATCCTTTCATCTGGTTCCTATTGTTGAGGATATTTTTCAAGATTGCAAGTGTTTGTCCTGCCACTCCTTGTGACAATCCTCTGAGTTAAATTCTGTACTAAATAATATTTGGCTTCAAATACAACTCCCACACGGGAACAGTTTCTCCAGAAGGTACTTGTAAAGAAGTTATGAATTATAACTCTTACTGTTGCTCAAGCAGAATTATTAAGTGGCCTTTGGGCTCATTTCCAAATGTAATAACATTTTAATTTTTAGCGATTGAGCATATTCTGGCCATGGTTTGAGGCCTGGACACTTGTCTGGATAGGATATTGCTTAGCGTACTCGATTCCCAGAAAAAGAAACATCGGTAGCATCTTCTGGATTTTGCCAAGGAATTTTAAAGGCCACCCAAACAAGAGCATGACACACATCCGAGCCTGCCCCACAGAACAGAACATCTCCATGAAGAAGGCCCGTGGTGTGTGCAACTCTGACGAAGCACCAAGACATATGGTTAGCCTCCCTGTCTCCGGGGCTCTTCCGTTTTTGTCCAAGAGAATGATAAAGTCAGAATCCAGCAGGAATTTGGGGCTTCATTTCATTCTGCCCTACCCTTGGGGAATAGTATGCCTAAAATATACCAATGATATGATTTCTGTTCATTCTAATAGCTTCCCATATCATTGGATATGCGCACAGCCTTAATTAGAAAATGCTTCCTGTGCTATCTAAAACCGTTTTTATGCAACTTATAGACACTGTCTTACAATTTTACTGTATCTTCATACACCATTTCTTCTGTAAGGAAAATTGGATAGAGCCTGTCACACTCTGATAATTGACATCTGTTAATCCATTGCTGTATCCCTAATATATGCTAAGAGCTCAATAAATGTGTAGAACTATAACCCTCCAGAGGATTGCGGGCTGGCAGTGCATGACCTGTATTTGTGACTTACATCCTGTTTCCCCTTGAAACGATGTCAACTCACAAACAACTAGTTGTAATTCTGATTCATAAGATTGTCCAGATCCATATGGAATCTTATTTTTGTTTGTGGTTTTCATTTTTATTGGTCTTGATTGAGTGTTCATTCGGCTGCCTATGCTATAAGGCAAATAAATATAAGTTGAATACCAAGAGCTGGGACATTTAATTTTCATCGTAGAATTCTCTACGTTGGACCACAGAATGAGAGCACACCTCAGTGATCTGAACGTCCCATCTCGATGAGTGCCTTTTCCCATCATATTTTGCCAAAAGAAATGTAAGAATGAACTGAAAACAGGAGAAAGTTTGTGTGGGTTTTTTTGTTTGTTTGGTACCAGGGATTGCCCCCAGGGGTGATTTACCACTGAGCTACATCCCCAGCCCTTTTTATTTTTTATTTTGAGATAAGGTCTTGCTAAATTGCCCAGGCTACCCTCAAACTTGCCATCCTCCTGCCTCAGCCTCCAGGGTCACTGGAATTTCAGGTGTGCCCACCACACCTGGGCAGAAGTTCCTTACTATCAGAAGGATTGTCACCCTTTTGTCTACCTTAGAGTGCTTAGTTCTCCTTGCAGCCCAGTGAGGAGCAGGTCTGTCTTTATAGGAAAACAGTTCTAAGGTCCCATAGAACTGGGAAGGGTCTTTTATATGCCAGCATACACACTCTTATCTCTGTGATCCTGATGTGAATAGTGTGATAACTACCACTGAGCAGAACATCCTCTGTGACCACAAGTTTACACACCAGGCTTGTCAGCAGTTAAGTCTTCGAGGAGTTTTCCCGGTGCTGACCTGAATTTCAACGCCTAAACAATGTTCAATTGCAGATAGCATTGGACTTCTCTTGGAAACATTCTGATTGAGACTTTTCTTAGAAGGGTACAAATTTGGTTTCTTTTCAACACATTATTCTGTGTGATGAACCATGGAAAGTGGATTAAAGCTGGCAGGCTCTGGAAAGATGGTCTATTAAATGTTATGTCCAAGCCAGATTATGCATGCCTGCCACCACTGAGTCTCACTCAACTAATCGGCTTTTTCTCTTCTTCTGTCTCCTCTGTTGAGGATCTAGCACCTCTCTTACTGGCCTACAAAATAAAAGCAAAGAAATGCATGGCATGGAAATTAAGAAATAAATGAAATGAAAGAACAGTATCAACAACCAGAATCAGTATTTCAAAAAGCATGTCAGTTGCTGTTACATGGGATTGCTTTCAGCACTTCATGGCTGAATGACTGTCCCCCTTATGAAATCCTTTCCGCCCCAGGACCCCACACACAGTTACTTCTGTTTAATGAACATCTTTAAATAGCATACCTTTTCTTTCACATACAACTTTACAGTTCTCAGAGTATTTTCTCAAATTGTCCCTTGATTAATCTTGGGCAAATACTAATGTGCCCAAGTTTTCAGAGCAGAAATCTGAGATTGAAATAAAATGTTCAAATCGACCTTTATTGAGCACCTGATAATTATCAGCATTACTATGTGGAAGCTTGAAATGCAAGATCAATATTCCATGGCTGCTTCTCTTTACCCTGCTTGTGGACTAGCAGAAGGCAGACACGCTAGCCAATGACCATCCATAGTGGGAAGAGTGTCAAGGAAGTGCTCCAGGATCAGTCAGGACAACTCCCTGGGAAGGTGGCATTGGCCTGAGACTTAAAGTGTGGTTAGGAATTTGCCAGACATCATGTGAGACCTGGGATGGGAATGGGAGGGTGACTGTGGCACATGTCATCCTGAGCAGAGGGACAGTGTAAACTGAAGCCCTGAGACAGGAGACGTATGGTGCTCCCCGGCCAAAGGCTAAGGGTGAGGTGGAAGAGGAGGTGGGATCCGGCTGCAGAGCATCTGTTTCGGCAAGCTAAGGAGCTGCTGATCCACTCCCTGGGAGAAGAGAAGAATCCTACCTGTGTTTCCTTTGGGAAAACAAAAAAATGTCATGATGAGAGAATGAGGCTGAAGGGAACTGAAGAGACCCGAAGGAGATGATTGGGGATGGGGAGGCATGTTCATAAACACACCTGCTGGTGTCCAACTTCAAAGCCAGTAAATACAGTAAATTTGATGGTCATTCTGTAAGTTGATTTTTGACAAATTGAGTTTTAATGAATGACTCACTTCCAATAGATATAGAGAAAGAAAAAGGAAGAATAGAAGAAAGGAATAAGGTAACTGTGAGGAGTTTGTGGGGTGATGGAGACTTCCAGCTGATCACTGGAAACACGGGGGTGTCCCTGAAGGCACATCCTTACACAGCCATGGAGGGGAAGCTTGGGCAAGGGTCCAGCACTTGGATCTGCTCTGGGGTCCCCATGAGTCCACGAGTTGTAGGTTTTGCCTTTTAAGGCTCTTTGAATACAGTGTTATCGTTGTGAAGCTAATTCAGTGTCAACCCCAAATTCTTTTCACATTCTATAAACACTGGGAGTGGAAAGACATGTCATCGTCATCCTTGAAGACAAAGGTGAAGTTCAGACCAAAGCTATTCTAATATTACTGAAGACCCTATCTTTTCACCACCACCTTTGAAAAAAATGATTTTCATAAGTTCCGGTAAAGACACAACAACTGAAAGTAATTTTAAAAACTTTTTGTGGAAGAGGGAAATATATTCTTTATTGCTTCAAAAAGCAGAACTAAGATCAGAGTGAGACTTGAAAAGAGTAAGATTTTGCCCAATAACAGAGATGCCCAATGATGGTACCTAACATTACCTGCCTACCAAGGCAGAGAGCAACTTTTGCTATTCAAAGGGAGAAGGCAATGTTTTTAAGGAGGAGAAATACTGTAATGAAAGGGTGATGGAATAAGATGGTCTCACCCTGGCTTTTTGATTCTAAGATTTAATTTAAAGGATTTGACTAATCATGTATGTTCAGTTCCATGTGAAGTTTAGGATATTTTTCTATAGTTGATTTTTGCTTGTATTTGTGTGTACATATATATCTTTAAGGAACAATTCAAAATGAGTCAAATTCTGCCCCATTCACACTTGAGTATTAGCATATTTGTAAACAGTGAAGGAATCTTTGGGGATAATTATCTTTTCTAGGTGGGATGTGCACATTGTCTAAAGGCTCTTCTATCACCATAAATAAATATATGTATTCTCCATAACTAATTCTTTAAAAGTAGAGATCTTGATATTCCTGGAATTAAAACTTTATAGGCCAACATGTAAGAGGAAACTTTGAAAATGAATTTTGGAAGATCTTTTCATGCTCATGTTAAGATCTTCTCATGTTAATGCGAATGTGGACTGTTTTCAAAAAAAATTAGCTTAAGAAAACAGTACAAAAAAATGTTAATACTTGGTTGAGTCAAAATATTTAGGGTGTATACATAGCATCTCTAAATTGATGGCCCACTCTAAGAATAGATCTTTCCCTCCCTCCCCCAGCCCAATGCTGACTGCATGGACGACCTACCCACTGACTTCGAGGGCTCTCTGGGGGGTCCACCAACCAACCAGATCACAGGCGCAAGCGACACAACAGTGAACGAAAGTTCAGTCACCTTGGACCCTGCTGTCCGGACTGTGGGAGCCCTGCAGGTGGTCCAGGATGCAGACCCCACGCCCCAGGAGGGAGAAGCCATCTTCACCACCAACAGTAAGTTCTGCTGTGCTTAAAGGTGCTGTTACCAATCCCAAGTGGCTCATAGGTATGCCCAAGAAGAAAAGTCTAAACTGAAGGAGTATATCATTGCCAGTCTCAACAGCCATGCCTGTTGGACCCTAAGAAGTCCAGATCTCTCCAGAGCCAGCAGGGCAGACAGCACACCTGGCCCTGCACACCCACACTCACACCAGCGGCACACACCACAGCACCACACGTTCTCCAAGTCCAGAGGCAGATAAGGAATAGGTCTTGCCTCTGAGGGTGGACAGCAGGTGAGAGAAGCAGCCCCATGGTGTGTCCAGGATGACGGGATAGGACACAGTCCTGCCCACTTGTGAACGTGAGGTGCACATATGTGCATACTTGAGCTCCATGAGTGTGCCTGTAGCTGTATGAGCTAGTTTGGACTATGAGCAGAAGGTCACTTTACCCATTGCTGTAGGACTCAGATATATAGGTATTTTATTTTTATTTTTATTTAAGGGACTGGTCTTTCTAAGTGGTGCAGGCTGGTCCCAAACACCTGGACACGAGAGATCCTCCTCATCAGCCTCCCAGACAGCCAGGGTGTCACCATGTCCAGCTTGAGTACCCCTTGAGATGGGCATTTTTGCAGCATAGCCTAAAGTCCTGAAAATGGTGCCCTGCATGTTTAAATATCTTCGCCTCATCTCCTGCATAGATGGTCACTGGATTCTGTTCTGTCTCAGTGCCCAAATATCTGTATGGGCATCAAAGATCAAAACTAAAATCTAAAGAATCTACTATTTAGTCTAATGTAGCAGAGATAAAAGCTTAGGAGTTCTAAGAAAATCAGCATGCAAATTAACTGTGGTTTAACATTAAAAGAGCAGGTGGATGTTACAATTTTTAAACAAAGCATATTTTTCTTGATAGAAGTAATTTATTCGCTATAGAAAATTTGGAAATAGATAAAAGCAAATTGAAACATCTTGGTGTATTTCCTTTTACATCATCCTCTTTTTTAAAAAAAAATTATGCTAAACTCTAAAGATATGCATTTTTCTGATGAAGAAAGAAAAAAAATCATCCTGTTGAAAGATTGAAAGATAAAGAATGAAAACTCAGTCAAGACACCACCACCTAGCAATAGTGGCTTTTAATATGTGGCCATTTCCTGGTCATCTTTGGTGATAAGAGTTGAGATGATGTTACAGAATTTTCATTTTGAGGATGGTAACGTTAGCATTTCACCAAGCTTTCACCCAAGGTAACTTAAAGAGGGATTTGGTGGGAAATATCTTCCAGGTAAGTTTTATTTGTTTGGGATAAATAAGAGTTTTAACTTCAAAATCTAAACGTTTGGAAATTTTTTTTCTAAAACAATTTTACTTTTTATGTGTGTATCCTTGATCATTAAAATCTGGAATGTATTTCAAGACATTTTAGTTTCGACTAACTCGGTAATCACATGTAGCCAGTGGCTACCATAGCAGAGAACATAGATCAGGAATCTCTGAAAATGAAGAACCTGAAAGATTATTTGACATTTACCAGGATAAAGTTGTAAATTTTTAACAAAAGAAAACAATGGTCCAGAGGAGTAAATGGCTGACCCAGGTCAAAGAGTAAGTTCAATTTTCAGTGGATCAGGTGGTTTCATCGTTAAACCATTTATCAGACATCTTCTTCAATCATGATTCATAACTACTGATGATCTTAGTGAAGAATATTGGAAGGCCTGATAGAATTATTCTAGCAGCTCAAAAATATATAAAGCAAGAATATATTTAAGCCCATAAAAGACCAAAAAAATGGATCATTATCCTTACAAAGAATGATTATTTGATTTTCAAGAGACAGTTTGTCCTCTGTGAGATTCCTTATTTTGAAAGTGGCTTCATACTTCCTGTGTTTTAGCAAAGCCCAGATGGCAAATGAAAAAGCATTTTAATTTAATGTGGGTTAAATGACATTTAAAGTGAAATAGATGTGAATACACTGTGGGTAAAATACATTAAAAAATGAAATAGACTGTGTCCATGTAATTCACAATCCCCAAACTACTTTGTGCAAAGTATTTGAGTCAGGGCGCTTGGGTGACAGCAGGCTTTTGGTAAATAACTTGAGGTCAAAGCGTTCAACCTAGGCTTGCAGCACATATTAAAAATGCCAGGTAATTTCAGAGGAAGGTATTGGCAAAAGTGAGATGAAGAGTTGGGAGTAACCAGATCACATCTAGTTCAAAGATTGATTGCAAATAGCAATGTGGCTAGAAAGATCCATTTCTGAGCACAGAAATGGAATTTTTCTCACAAAATATTTTCCTAGACCATATATGTCTGATTAATTTTATTTATTGGGCTTTCACAGAATTTTATGGCCATAACCATTAAAGAAATGGCTGTAGACTCTTTAAGGGGAAAATTCTCTACAAATTTTTAAATTGACTGGTGTCTTTGTCAAGTATTTAATCAATAAATGAGCAAACACAAATATATCACTACAGAAATGAAAAGATCCAAGTTCTAATCAACATTAGTGTAATCAACTCTCTAACTATTTCTAAAAATAATGTAGGTGGAGACATAAATATAAATGAAGATACCATATAGCTATAAATCACCAATAAACAGGTTGGACTTGACTTTTCTCCAAATTCTCTTTTCCCTCATCACATCTCCACAGATTCAGGAAATTACAGAAAAGAAAGAAATAATAGCAGCTAACAAATACATAGTCCCAGATATGTACCAAGCACCTTTTAAGCCTGTTTATCTGTTAGTTCACAACCACCTACAAGGTAAATATCATCTGTATCCTCACTTTACTGATGCAGAAAGGGAGGCCCAGATCAAAGTGGCCAACCCGAGGTGGTTAGCTGGTGACAGGTGGAGCTGGAATTCCAACAGGGCTGCTGGCTCCAGGGCTGTATGTACTCAGATAATGAAAATGGGGGGGGGGGAGTCTAACACAGTTGCCTACACACTCCTCACATTGTCGACTTATTTATTTCCTGCTTTCTCAAAGATCTCTGAAAAGACCAATAATTTGTTTAGCTCCTCCACCTTCATTCCTATCTCTTTTCTCCCTTTCCTGGCAAATCATGCTGATGTGCAGCTGATCCAAAGCATGTCAAGGCGTTCTAGCACTCCTGGGGGCCAGGTGTAGAGCAGACTGGCTTTAGAGTGAATACCTAGAAAAGGAAACAAGAAAAGCATTTATGGCACCTAGGAAATCCAAGCTTGATGCAAGCCTGACTCTGGGAGAGAGACATTCTCAACCATGTACCTCCAGTGCTGCCAAAGGTCCTCCTATTGCAACCTCACAGGGCAGGTCCCCATGGCAGTCTTGCTCCTCCACCTTAGTGCAAGGAGTCGTGTACATGGATGTCCTTATGCCACCCGCCAGTCTTATCTGCAGGCCTGCCAGTGCCACTGCACGCCGCCATCTCCCTCCCCAGGCTTCAGCTGCGGGCTCTTGTGTTTTCTTCCACAGGGAAACAAAGTTTCTAAGGAGCAAAGGGAAACACACCTAAACAAACAGCCCTGTGTGTTTAGAGATCTCAGAGAGGAGCCAGAGAAAGACACTGAGGGAGAAGACTTCATCACTCCTTCCCAACACAGCACCACTTGGCATCCGCTCAGGAGGGCCTGAACTCTTCCCTTTATCGGTCAAAGAGCTTGTTAACTCCACCTTCCATTCCTTGACTTCCTTATTGAATCACCACAAGTCCTATGAGGTTGCCTACAAGTCATTACCCTCTTGCCATCCTCCCACCTCACACTGGAAGGAACCAACCCTCAGCCTAAAGAGTAGAGGGTAGAGATGGACAGAATGGAGAAATCAGAAATCTACCCCAGGGCATTCTGAGAAGCCCTTGGCATGACACCTGTGGCCAGGAGAGATCTGGTGTCCAAACTTTACAAAAAGAAGCAACACTCACCAATTAGTGTGGATGCTCAGAAAACTTGGCCAATGGAAATGAAAGATAGTTTGGGTTTCCTCTGGAAACATCTTTGTTCTCACTTCCTATCATCGCTGATCCTTGGGGAAAGAACAGTGCATCTAACATCTAATGTGATTAACACACATGATTTGTGGAGTCTCAAATCACATCTTTATTCTTGCCACATAAATGCTTAACGTGTATGGAGTAGGTGGAATGTTCCCTGCCCCTTGATGCAGATCCCAACAGTCCTAGGAATCGTCTGTTAACCCTTAGGTAACTGACAGTTCTCAGAGTCCCTTTACGGACCAAACACAGAAACAGAGTGTCTCGTTTCGTTTTGTTCTGCTGTTTGGTTTGGTTTTGCTGTTCTTTGCTTTCCCACCAGGCCCTTTCTCCTGTAATTCCACAGATCTCTGTGGCTTATGTGCAAGACCTTCTGCAGTCCCCACCAGCCCAAATGGCTGCTGCCTCCTAAGGTTCCCTCCCACCTCCAGGAGCTCCTTTTGCCTGGAGTCCACATCGAGCCTCGTCCAGCTCACTCTCCCACATGGCCACGTTGGTACACTCACATGCCACCTGCCCTGACCACACACTGGGGGGCGAGCAGGGGCCTTCTCCAACATCCAACCTCACATTGCAGACAAGAGGGACCCCCGAGTCCATACTCTGTTCTATCTTTTCTGAAGTTTGGCTGAAACATGCTTCAAAGTCCTGTGCAGCAGCCCCTCACCGGCTTAGGGCTGGGCGGTTCCCTTCCCACCCTGTTAGCTGGAGGAATGGATTTGCTTGATGACACTTTGTCCGTAGATCATCTCTGTACCATCCTCCAGCCCTCCTCTTCTTTGCTCTCCTTTGTATTGCCCCTAAATGGATGATGGGGTCAAGAATCATAGGACAACTTCCCTTCATGTCCGTTGTACATCCAGAAAGATGTACAGGCAGCAGAAGGGTAGGTACAGTACAGACTGTCTCCTGCTTCTTGGCTCTCCACAACTCTTCAGGAGAAACTGAGGCAGGCAGAATCCCAGAGAGCACAAAAGAATTTCCTGAATATTTCCTGAATATTTTCATCATCTTC